TTATTAAATGCTAATGCATAGAAATATATTATTGTTGTGTAAGCTATCTACGTGTTACTATTGTAATTTGTAACTTTGCAGAATTTATTTGTTGATTCTTCGCTACTTTCTAATTAGGAAATCATGTAAAGTTGCACTAGATTGTGTATTACTATTATTCTCTTATTTTGTTTTGAAACTTTATTTGTCATAAATAAAAAAGATCATGTCATCTAAAAATATTTAAAAATACCCCACATAGTTTTATTTCATCTGTTCTTATCTGGATTTTTTTTTTGTTGTTGTTGTTATTTCTCAGTTGCTTGGCTGTTACTGCCAGTATAATGCTTAATGGAAGTGGTGAATGTAGGTATACGCAGTTCCTGACATCAGGGAAAAAGTATTCCAAACTTTTTTTTAGAGGGCATCTCAATATGGAGTTCAGATTGGCTTTGCACTTACTATGCATCTTTTTTTTTTTTTTTTTTTTTTTTATTTTATGGGAGGGTCTAGGACGTTCAGGGTCTCACTACTAGATCAGACTCAAAGTGATTCCCCCGGTTTACAGCCTCCTAAGAGCTGGGATTACAGGCGCATACCACCATGCCCAGTCTCAATTGTCCTCTCAGTACACCCTGGAGGCCGGCAAGCATGGCAGGCCCTGGGGATTGAACCCCTGGTCCCTGAGCCTGCTCGCAGGCGCTTTAATCTGCTGAGCTATTTGGCTGGCCCTTTACCATGCATCTTACGCTGACCTCAGACTCACATCCATTTCCTGATGTAGCTTCCCATGTATTGGGATTGCAGGCATGAACCAGCATGCCACACAAAAGCATTCCGTCTTAAACTGTTGAGTATCATGTTTCCTGTAGGTTTTTCATGTCCTTTGTCAATCATGCTTCAAAATTCTCTTCTGTTGCTAATTTTCTGGGTCTTTAAAAATCGCTAGAGGAAAAAAAAGAAAAAAAATATGTATACAAAGATAGGATAGATATACAGCTATTTTCTCTTAGTTCATTGAGAAGAAAGGTTTGTACTAATATTGTTTAGACAAGAGATAATGTCTACATCTTGTCCTCTGAGTAGCTAATGTGAAGACAACAATATGCAATGTATTATTATAATTGTCCTATAACCTGTTTTGCAACTGTTTCTGTGCCATTTTATCTTTTTTTCTCATTAAAATGAATAAAAAATTAAAAAAGTAAGAAAAAGCATTAAGTTTCTGCAGGACAAAAAAATCACTAGGATATTTAGTCAGTGAGATACACATGTTGAGATAACCATGTTTTCCTCTTAATGTACTGCATCATATTGATTGATTTATGTATCACCTTTGCATTCTTTTTCAAAAAAAATGTATTTAGTACGGGGCCTACAGGGTCTCACCACAGATTGGACTCGTGGTGATCCTTCCTGTGTTTCAGCCTCCCAAGTGCTGGGATTACAGGTGTGTGCCACCATGCCCAATCATGGCTCAATCGCCCTTTAGTGAGCCCCAGGGGCATGGCTGGCATTGCAGGCCGGGGATCGAACCCCTGACCTCTGCATCTGCCTAAGCAGGTGCTTTAATCTGCTGAGCTATCTGGCCAGCCCTGACCTTGGCATCCTTGAGAACAATGTTATTTGATCATTCTGTATAATCCTTTTAATTTGCTGTTGAGTTCTTCATGTTTTGTGGAAGCTTTTTGTATTAACATGTTCCAAGGATCACATTGTGTGATTTCCTCTTTATATGATATCTCAGTATATCTTTGGTAGCAGCATAACATAATGAAGCCTTCATTATGCCAGTTTAAAAATGATTCCTCTCTTTGATTTTTAGAAAAATTAAGAAGAGTCTTAGTATTTTCTTTCTTTCTTTTTTCTTTTCTTTTGCGGAACTGGGGATTGAATTCAGGCCCTTGGACTTGCCAGGCAAGCACTTATTCTACTGAACTATCTGCAGCCCTATTATTTTCTTAATTGCTCACTAAAATTCATTAATGAAACTCGGTGGTCCTCGCCTTGGTTTTTTGAGAGTTTTTTTTTTAATTCCAGACTTAATGTATGCTCTTGTTTCAATTTTATTTATATTTTTTATTTCCAATTAGGTAAGTTTTGTTCAAAGTATGCTCATATCCTTTAAGACCAATAGTAATGTCCCACTTTAATTTCTTATTCTAGAATATGAGTCTTCTTTTTAATTTTCTTGGCCACTGTATCTAACATATCATCAATATCATTGATATTTTAAAAAACAGCTACTATTTCCATTAGTTTTATGATTTTTCTATTCTCTATGTTGTCTGTTCTACAATCCCTATATGTTTTTGCTCCTAGTAGTGTGAGCTTAATGCACTTTTTTGATTCTAGCTCCTTATGGTGTAAAAATTAAAGTAGTTTATTGACTTGAGGTCATCCTTTCTTTTATTTATTTATTTTTTTCATCCTTTCTTTTAAACGTAGGTGTTTGTAGCTACAAATATTCATCTGAGCCTTACATATCCCCAAAGTTTTGGCTTGTGGATTTTTCATTTTTTTTTAAAGTGTATTTGTTATTTTTTTCTACCGGGTCTCGCTACACAGATTGGTCCTCCTGTTTGCAGCCTCCAAAGTGCTGGGATTATAGGTACGCACTGCCCTGCCAGTCTCAGGCCCTGCACCTGCCTAAGCGGGCACTTTATTCTGCTGAGCTGAATGGCCAAGCCTCCATGGTGTTTTCCCAAACCACACCTTTATATTGTATATGAAATCTTAATACAGACTTATGCACTTTTCTTTTAAAACATGGAGAATAAGAATTTAGGTTTCTTTTCTGTTAAAGAATTTACATTTCAAACACACTAATACTGCCTTTTATATTTACTTATGTAGTTACTTCTGCCAGCATTGCTTGTTTTTTTCCTATGACTTCTGGTACTACCTGTAGTCCTCTTGTTTCAACTGTAGACTCCCTCAAATGTTTCTTAGGGAGCAAGTCTAGTAAAAAGGAATTTCTTTCTAGACTTCTTTTATGATTTTGGTGAAACGTTTCTGTTAATTTTCTTGTAAATGTCCAGTGTGCGGCAAGTCATCCCTAACCCCACACCCAACTCGCTGCAACTACTATTCCATGCTGTTCTAAGTTTCAGATGCCATATATCAGTGATACCATATGGTGATTCCCTGCTGTGCTGGACCACATAATAAAACATAGTCTTCCTGGTATAACAGAATTTCCTAAATTTGACGTACTGAATGGTATTGAATTGTGCATAGAGACTGCATGGTCTTCATGCATTCATCACTGACAGACACTTAGGTTTTCCACGTCCTTTGTGAATTGTAAGTTCACATTGTGAATAATGTTGGAATAGGTACAGGAGTGTAGATAATTCTAAAATATATTAATGTCATTTCTTTTGGATGTATACCAAGTGGTTATAGTGCATTTTATGTGCATCTCTTATAGTATCACATAGATGGTGCTTATTGAGCTTCTTGGGAAGTTTTGTCCTGGGTTCTTCATATATTGTCCCTATCCAGTCTTTCTCATCTTGCAGGATTTCTTTGATGTTGGTTAGGCTGATGATATTCCACAGCTAATTTAGGCATGTTCAATTTGAATCATCTCAATTGTTCTATCTTCACATTCATTGGTTCTTCCTTCTGTCTAGTAACTCTGAACCCTTCTACTATTCCTTTGTACCTCTCTACTAATTATTTTTACTTTAGATACTGTACATTTTGGCATAAAATCATTTGTATCTTTTTTTGTAATTGTCTGCACACGGACAATTGCATTCCTACTTCCATCCTGGCATTTTCTGAACCTTTGCTTGTGGTTTGCATAATCTCTTATAGAAGAATTAAGACAGCTATTTTAGTGTTTTGTCCAATAAGTCCAATGCCTAGGACTCCTCCAGGACAGCTTTTGTTATGTCATGTCTTCTCAATTTGAGTTAACCTGGATAATTTGCACATTGTACTGTGGGAACTCTGGAAATCAGATTATTTCTTAACCTCAAGGTTTTTTCTTGCATTTTGGTGGCGTGTACAAGCAGTCTATCTAACCCCTTTTATAGAAATTCTTCTTTTTTATTTTCAAAAGAGATTACAAAATGGTGAAAGAAAAAGAAAATAAACATTAAAAAATGATACAATAGGAACAAGAGGAATTCCACTGTGGTGGTTGTATTACATCATATCTTCAAATTAGTTGGTTAGATTATCAGATATAAAGAAAATTGGGGAAAAATGAAAAAGAAAAAAAGAACAAGCTTTAACTGCTCTTTTAAAGAGAACAACAGAAATCAGCCGTACAATTATCCAAAGTATCCTGTATACATACATAAATATAACTTTTCCTCCTCTCTCTTTTGTGTTTTTCTCATCCCAGTTTTTCCTTCCTATTGAACACATACTTTCCCTTTCACAGGATCTATTGTACCTTTCAGGTTTTATTTACTCTTTCAGGTTCTTGTACTAGTGAGACAATATGATGTGTGCACATGCGGGTCTGATTTATTTCACTTACCTATATGATCTCTAGTTGCAACAATTTATGTATAAAAGCCTCAAGTGTACCTTTTTTTAATACCTGGAGATTTTTCTTTCTTGTATGGCTTTTAAAGTCTTTTAGCAGAAGCATAATTTTCAGTGGGTAATGATAGAGATTTCCTTTAAATGCCAGAGAAATGTGATTTCTTATTCTTTGTAGATTAACTCTGTGTTTGGACCACTAGCTATGTCATGTGACCTTCCCCCAGCCTGACTTTGTTTATGTGGCCAGTAGTACGATCTCACCAGAATTCTCCCATGTTCAATATTCTGAATGTGTTAATTTTGACAGTGCCAATAGCTTAATTACTGCTCTAGCACAGGCATGGGTATTGCGATTCTCTAGCTTAATTTTCAGCAATACCATGCTGTAATGCTAATCTTTTGCCTTTAGTTTGTGGCTGTGATAGCTGGGTGCTCATTGGGTATAAGACGTCTCACATAGCATCAGTGTCTCTGGGCAGGTGTCCAGGGCCTTACTGACTCTACTTCTCCCTCAGGGTTCCGGCTGGTCCATGGCAGCAGCCCCTGTGAGGGCTGTGTGGAGTTCCAGGTGCAGGGGGTGTGGGCACCCCTCTGTGCCACCCACTGGGACTTAGCAGATGCCACCGTCCTGTGCCATCAGCTCAACTGTGGGAATGCAGTGGCCACACCACGAGGGGCCCATTATGGGCATAGGGGTGCTCCTATCTGGCCAGATGTATTTCACTGTGTGGGAACAGAACTCCATTTGTTGGGCTGCCCATCCAGCACCCTGGGGGCGAAGCCCTGTGCCCAGGGAAATTCTGCGTCTGTCTCTTGCTCAGGTGGGTATGATTCATGCAGTGTGAGAGAGAAGCAGCTAGGTGGACTGAGGCACTAGAAGCTGGGCCCTGGGCAGAAGAGGGGGCACTCACTGAGTGATGAGTAAAGGAAATGTTAAAGTAGGTATGTTAACATGGTGTAGGCCAGACAGGTAGGGCTATAGTTGAGAGTAATTGTGGGAGAAGACAGTAAAAAGATGAGAGACACAGAAATTGAAGAGAGCTCAGAAAGAAGACACAGAGGCACTGATAGGTGGATGGCTAAGTGCCTGAAGATCAGCAGGAGCTTAGGAAGTCATATACTCCAGAATGGCTTCTTCTCATCCCTCCCAGGTCTCCCTGGAGCCCTTAGACTGAGGGATGGGCAGAGTCGCTGTGATGGTCGTGTGGAGGTCTCTCTGGATGGAGTGTGGGGCCGTGTCCTAGATGATGCCTGGGACCTGCGTGATGCCAGTGTCGTGTGCCGGCAGCTGGGATGTGGAGAGGCCCAGCGAGCCTATGACACAACTGCTCCTGGCCTTGGAGCTGTCCCGGTGGGGCTGAGCCAGGTGCACTGCATGGGCTCAGAGTCCCGCCTGACCCAGTGCAATGTATCAGTGTCCTTGCTGGTGCCTGCGGGGTCTTCACGGGACGTGGGTGTCGTGTGCACTGGTGAGTGTGGGACTCCACTCTTCCTGTGCTCTGGGCCCCATATGGTCTCTCATATTCTCACTTAGCCTCTCTTCAGGGAGCCTTCGGGTGCGGCTGGCTGGGGGCCCTGGCCGCTGTGCAGGGCGTGTGGAGGTGCTGCAGCAAGGCACCTGGGGCACAGTGTGTGACGATGCCTGGGACCTGCAGGACGCTCACGTGGTCTGTGAGCAGCTGGGCTGTGGCCGTGCCCTCAGTGCCCCAGGGGCTGCCCACTTCGGTTCAGGATCTGGGCCCATCTGGATGGATGAGTTGGGCTGCCTGGGCAACGAGTCTGCACTGTGGCATTGTCCATCACCAGGTTGGGGCCAACATGACTGTGGCCACAAAGAGGATGCTGGGGTCTTCTGCTCAGGTGGGTGCGAGGTCCATTGTGTCTTGCATGTCCCTGTTCTCCTGTGCCCTCCTTCCCAACTGGTCTCTCTCTGCAGAATTCACAGATCTCAGGTTGCAGAATTATGGACAGCCATGTGCAGGGCGGCTGGAAGTTCTCTACAATGGGACTTGGGGCGGAGTCTGTCGAACCCTGAGTGCCACCTCTTTGGGCATCCTGTGTGGGCAGCTGGGCTGTGGGCCCCAAGGGCAGCTGCTGGCCAGGCCAGAGAGTCAGTCTTCCCCTGACATTTTCTGGCTGGCCTCCATTCAGTGCAGGCCCAGGCATGACAGGTTCCTGTGGCAGTGCCCCTCAGCTTCCTGGGACCAGCATTCCTGCTCCCACCAGGAGGAGGCCTGGATCCTGTGTGCAGGTGAGCAGTAGAAAATTTGTTGATGCATGTGTGGGTGTAGCGCATGGTCACAGCCATGGGGCACAAGGTTTGGTGTGGCCTATCAGGTGTAGCATCCATCCCTGGCTCCTTCTCAGTGGCGAAGTAGGACTCCTGGAGTCCTCTTCTGATGATTCCACCTGGGTACCTGTGTGGGAAACCCTCAACCTGTGTCACTATATTTCCTTAAACCCAAATTTTTCTTCACATCTGGGAGCAAAAACTGCTTGCTATGGAGACACAAAGACAAAGGAAAGGAACACACATTCCAGAGTGTGGGATGAGCTTGCAAATACTAAGATGGGCCCTATTTCTACATGCAGAAAAAAATGCAGAAATTCCTGAGGTTCCTCCGCAGCCCCTTAACTGCTCATCCACTCTCGGCTGCACAGGTACCCTCTTTCTATGTTGCAATCTAGCTGTCCATGCAGTGGGGTTCCTGAGCTAAACATTGTCTTCTTTTCTAGAGGAAGGTTCACTACGCCTGCGAGGAGGTGATAACTGCTCTGGGCGTGTGGAGCTCTGGCACGCGGGCTCCTGGGGCACTGTGTGTGACGACTCCTGGGACCTTGCAGATGCAGAGGTTGTGTGCCGCCAAATTGGCTGTGGTCAGGCCGTGGATGCCGTGCATGGGGCTGCCTTTGGTCCCGGGTCAGGGCCTGTGTGGCTGGATGAGGTGGGGTGTCGTGGAAGCGAAGCTTTCCTTTTGGGCTGTCCTGCAGAGCCACTGGGATATGAAGACTGTGACCACAAGGAGGATGCAGGGGTATGCTGCTCAGGTGAGTGCAAGGGGAGTGAGTTTGGGGAGGGGACACAGGGAATGTGTTTCTGTGAGTCTGTTCTTTTCTACTGAACCATGCCCTCTAGCACAGGGCGTTGGTTTATGAGGTCCCATTTCGTGCTTCAAGCATAGGCTTATTTCCTCCCTGTCCAGTTGGGCTCCAGCCACGTGAGTTGTGACACTACTGCTAGATGTGGACAGGTCCATGCTGCAGGGTGCCAGGCACACTTCCCCTGCTGGGTGATCAAATCTGTAGTTTTCCTGCTTCTGTCTGGGGCACCTTGATCACGGGTAGGTGGCTCTGTCTCACACTCACTGTCTTCCTGCCTGTCAGTTCCCAGAGGGGCTGCAGAGCTGCTTGGGGAACAGTGCCCTGTCAAGGCTGTCCCCACCCCACTCAGGCTCTCTCGAGGTGTTCTGTTCCCATGGTGATGTGCACCCACTTGATGCCAACTGCTTTCTCTGTGTATCTGAGTAGGGAATGCAGTGTGGCGAAGGAGGTCTGGGCTGAGAATAGCCACATCTTAGGGGACTGCCTTCTGTGATGATGAAGTTTGGCTCTAGTTCGCAATGGCCTCTTGAGCACTGTGGTTTTTTCCAAGGCAGAACTGAGGATAGGGGTAGTGAGAGCCATCAGAGGTGTCCCTGGGCACACATGGGCACATCTGTCTAGGTTCTGCCTTAACACTACCGGGGGTAAGAAATCTACTTAGAATCTCTACCTGGACCTTCTACTTGTCCCCATTCATCTGGCACCTGCACTTGGGCTGTTGTTCTTTATAAAGTTGAACCATATCAGGGAAAGCATTAGCCTGTCTGGGTAGTAATGAGGCCCGGTTCTCCTGGGAGCTGCACCTTCTTTCTCCAAGGTTGAAATAACCTAAGATGAGGGACACAGTCCCAAAGACACACAGAACGTCTTGTCTTTTTGTTTGCCCCAATAGCCCCTCTCTTGGCCTCTGCATCTGTTACTGGGACATGGACCCTCCCGGAGATTGCCTGTGTGGTGCTTGGCTGCCTGCTGGGCCTCATCTTCCTGTGCGTGGGTGTTCAGTGGAGCTGCCGCAGATCTGCCTGTCTGAGTATGTGCACATGGCTGGACCAGGAAAGCAAGCCCCTATCCATAGAGTGTAGAAGACTCTTGGGAGACCCTGGCAATGGAAGGCCCTCCCTGCTATGGTCATCCTATTAGCCAGTGACTATGGGCTGTACTCATAAGATGTTGAGGAACTGGGCATCCTGAATTCATGTGTTAGTGTGCTTCTCAGATGAGTTGAAGCAAATAATCCCAACTTCTGCACCACAAATGGTGTTGACAACAGTCCATTGTGTTGCCATTCTTAGTTGGAGTTTTTAGGGTTAGATTCAGGGCCTGAGTTCCTCAAGTCTCACTAGTATGAGTACTTAGCTTCTGGGAAGGTGACAGCTTTCAATGGGGCTGATTCAGAGGTACCAGGTTTCTCTGTGTGCAGTAGGATCTAATATGCAATATATAATGGGGGGTACTCCTTAAGATTCTCATGTGCCCTTAACAGGTTTAGGAGTGTCAGAGCACCTGCCTTCAGAGGGTGTCTATGAGGACATCGAAACTCTTCCAGTGGCAAAGAATGAGGAGAGAGCCTCAGTGGCTGGAAACCTAGTGCTGGAGGAGGATTATGATGATGCTGAAGAACCCAAGGAAGACTTTGGGGGAGGAGACACATGAGGTGGAGACCGTTGAGCGTGCAGGTGTGCACCTGTGGGCCTTGGGTCCACCTCACTCTTCCTATTCTACAGCTTCAATAAGGAGAGCCCTGCTCAGGCCAGTGTTTACATTTCAAAGCTGAGAGCTGCCTCTCTGTGTCTATTGCCTTTTTTCTATGTCTGATCTGGTGCTTTCTGCTATCACCCTCTTCCTTTAAGGATGCTTTATTTTCCTTTGGGTTCCTTTTGTCATTTCCAAGTCTCTTTCCCATTACCTAGTTAATGATAATCTGCATGAGGTGCCTTGCTTGGATGATATATAGTTTGAGGGGATTCTGCCTCAGAAACATTCTGTCTCCTGGTGTACTACACCCAAACCTTGGCTGTCTGTCTGTCTGTCTGTCTGTCTGTCTGTCTGTCTGTCTGTCTGTCTGTGACTACTCTTCAGTGGTTACCAGGAGCTCAGTACCCCTGTGGTTCAGAGTAACCCATGATGACCACAGTTCATGTCTGTCTCATACTCAGGTGTGAATCTTTGAAACATGGAGTTTTAAGATTAGTCTGGGTCAGAAGAATGCTGTGGTCCCTGTTTCAGTATATCAGAACCCTGGGCTGACCATTGGGACCATGAGCATGTCTGGAGGCTGGGATTAACCTGGGAAGTTGGCATCAGTCTTGTTCTCATAGATTATGTTAAATGCACTATGAACTCTCCTTTCCCAACAGCCTTATGAGGCTCTAGCGTGACTTTCCTTCTATCCTGGTCCCATTTCTCTGCCTCCTCCTGGACTTCTGTCTCGTATGAGCTTTGTGTGTTTCCTTTCCTTCCTGCTCTTGCAGTTTTCCTTATGTGTGGGAGGGGCAGCCCCTGATGAATTATTTGTGATGTTCCCTCCTGTCATCTGTGGGGAGAATTTGTTTTCTTTTGGTAGGAGGTGGATGCATCTGAAACTGTCAAAATTATCATTGTCTTGAAAAACAAGTCCTGGAAGTTTGATGATGTGGTTATTTTGTTTATGGCTACACTTCACAGACCACCTCTGGGCTTGTTTAAGGCCACTCTGCCATGCTGCCTTGCCTTGGAACCAGATGAATGTGGGCAGAAACCTCTACAGATTAAGAATGAAGATTAACTTTTCTTCCATTAATTTGTGGGTTTGGGGAATTTGGTTTCAGCAAAGAGAAAGTAACTTAAACATACATCTTTGACATTACACTGGGACATGACTACATTGCCTCCCTAATGATTCAGTATGTGCTTACTAGGGTTCAATTGCTTCTTCCAGCTCTTTCTTTTGATGTAGTTTACATAATCAAACTTTTTTGCAGGATTTACACACATCAAAGTCTTATATGTTATTCTTTGAATGTGACAAGTCCATAAAGCCACACATCACAAATTCCTATCAAATTTAAAACATTGCCAACCTCCAGAGGTTCATCCATGTTCCTTTCTACCTTTTACTCTCTTCCCCTTTCAGAGTTCTCACCTTTTTATGTAGTGTTTTTTTTTTTTTTTTTTTTTTTTTTTGGCAGAACTGGGGATTGAACTGAGGTCCTTATGCATGCCAGGCAAGCACTTATCCTACTGAATTATCTGCCCGGCCCCCTATATAATGTTCATCATGCTCTAGATTTTCTATTTTAAAGCAGAATAATACAATTTATGTTCTTGTGTGTGGAGGTTTTCTTACTAAAACATGATATTTTGGAATTTCACTGGTATTGTGTGTGTTCATCATTTGCTTTTTATAATGCTTTCTGTTGTAATATTTGTTTTTCCCTTTGTTTCTGATAGGTATCTGGCTTACTTTTACTTTTTGGGTACTATGAATACCATAATTTGTGTTTTTCTTTTCTCTCTAATAGACAAGAAAACAATTTTCATTTTTTGAGTACTATGAAAAAAGCTACCCCAAGCTTTCTAATGTGAGCCTTCTTTATAGGCATATGTTTTGATTTATTTTAGGTGTAGACATTCTGGGTCATCATTTAAGTACATGTTTATTTTTAATTATTTATTTTTCTTTTAACTTTTAAACTAATTTTATTGAGAAAAAATTACAATGTGACAGCTTCAAAACAGGTTGGTAGGAGACTTACAAGAATTAATACATTGCATATTGTTGTCTTTGTAGTAGTCATTCATAGCACAACATACAGACATGATAACATGCTCAAACACTATTAGTACAGACCGTTTTTCTTATTGAATTAAGAGAAAGTACCTATAAATCTATCTTAATATTTTGTATATAGAGATAAAAAATTGTCCTTCATTTATATCACCATTTTTTATTCAGTTTTGTCAGAGATGGGTATTCCACTGTTATCCAAATATTGCAGGTGCATGAATTCAGCAAAATATTCTAATATAGACCAGTACTTCACAATAGTTAGTGGGTTTTCCACAGGACAGGCAATGTCTGAATCAGATGACTTGAGCCTACCACAGTTCAGCATATTATCATGGCTTCGCTTTTCATACCTCGTTTCTACACTTTTCTGCTGGATGGTTAAGATCAAGATAAAAAACCCTACATAATAAAAAAAAATGTAACTTTTGTATCTGACATGGTCAGTCAAATCCCTTCAGGACTTATTCTGAAACCCTGTACCACACTAGATCCTTTGTCAGTGTCAGCCATGTGGAAGAGTCATGGCCATTGCTTGACCAATTTGCTCTCTGTTAAAGTTTGACAGAATATTTTCTCTCCATGTGACTCTCTTTAGGCACACTCTACATCATTTATCACATTCTTTTTTGGCCCCATAATCTCCTTTATCAGAAATTTTGGGACACAACTGAGCCACCTGATGTTACAGTACAGGTTCTCCTTTGTCCTGAGTCCTCACTGACCTTGAATGACTAGGTCAAAAATGTTGGCTGTCCTTGCAGCCCTTTTTTTCTCTAATTTTTGGTCTGCAAAGTTAGTTTGTTTACCCTCCAGAAGAGAAGCTTATTATTGTCCTACAACATATACAGGTGGGTTTAAACTCAATATCTGTCTGAATATCAAACATCTTAGGCATAAGATGGAGCAATTTTTTAAAAATCCAATACCTTGAGATAGAGTCTGAGCATAATTGGTATGTCATGACAAGAAGTACGTATTTAGAAGACCGGAATGACTGGCATACCAAGCATGCCCTCACTATTACACATTGCTTTTATTGGTGCAGTCATTCAGTTCACATGTATCAGCTTATAAGTTGCTCTATCTCCCTCCTAAGTGGGCCCAATCAACTTGCACCCTCCCAGCAACATGGGTGCATCAGTTTCTTTACACTCTTGGTGGTACTTGGTATTGCCAAACTTCCTCATGTTATCTATTCAATGGATGTGTGATGATGTCACATTGTGATTTTAAGTTGCTCTTCCCTGGTGAAGTGAGGCAATGGTGGGGACAAGCAAGCCTTGGAGTAGCCAGCAGTGTTTTGTTTGCTACCTTTGTCAAATCTTCCCTTTAATGAGCCCACACTGGCCCATCATAATCATTCCAAGTCCACAATTCACATTAGCATCAACTATAAATATAAATAGCTATCAAAGACAGATTCTCCACAGGACATTGATATATAGCTGGGAAGAGCAAAGCACTGTAATGGGCACACATACCTCTTAGTAAGCTATGTGTATATTCAAAGAAGTTGAGGCATTTAGAATTTGTTAAAGGTGAAAATGAGGTTGTTTACCTCAGATATTTTAAACCTTGTGGCCAAGGATTCACAAATGTGATGTCAGTCTGAGGTTGGACACACAGTCATTGAGAGGACCACTCAGTAGAGGTTTCCAGCACATGACTGTAGGCTAGAATGCTTTGTGATAGTTTCTTTCAGGCCTTGTGTGTCAGACCCCTCTTCATACTTTTTAGCTTTATCCATTTTGCTGGAGTTAAAATAAGTGACTTTATCTTGATTCTGACAAATTCCTTTCTTTCTTTCTTTCTTTCTTTCTTTCTTTCTTTCTTTCTTTCTTTCTTTCTTTCTTCTTTTATTATATTTGCAGCACCAATATATATTGTGTGGAGTTGATACATGTACATAACACATCTTTTAGTTAAGTGTATTCAGTACAGGGACTACAGGGTCTCACTACACAGATCAGACTTGTCTTGATCCTTCCATGCACTGGGATTATAGGTGCACACCACCACACCCAGTCTCAGTGGATGCAACTTAATTCCTTTTTTCATCCATTTTCATATCCCACCTTCCTTAATCTGTTGGTCCTTTTCCCATTTGTGAAATACCTGTCCCTACTTCCTAGTATTTATCTTTATTTTTCTCACTATATGGAAACCACATGATATTTAAGTTTACGTGTCTCATTTAGTTCACATAACATGATGGTTTTAAGTTGCATCAGTTTTCCAAATAACTCATTTGTCTTTATGGTAGAGTTGTACTCTACTATGTGTGAATATCATGTTTTCTTTATGCATTCAACCACTGTTGGACATATATGTTGGTTTTAAGATTTAACTAGTATGAATTTTGCAGCTTTAAGCATGACTATGCATGTAGTACTGTAATATGACCTCTTCAATTCTTGGGAAGACAACTGAAAGAGGAGTAATGGAGTCAAGTGGAATTTGTAGTTTTTATTTTTGGAGAAATCTCTACTAATTTTCATAGTTGTATTCGTTTTCATTACATCATTGTACTAGTTTACATTCCCATCAACAGTTTAGAGGGGTTTCTTTAGCCGCATATTTTGGCCAGCACTTGTTGTTTGATTCATGTTAATTACCACCAAACACCTGCAATAAACCAACTTATTAAGAGGAAAGATTTATTTTGGATCACAGTCTGAGAAATTTCAGTCCATGATGGATTGGCCCCATAGCTCTCTGGCCTGTGGTGAGGCAGCACTGCATGGCATGGAACTGGTAAAGAAAATCTCACTTCCTGGCAGCTGGAAAGCAAAGAGAAAGAGGGTCCTGGGTCCCACTATCCTTGTGAAGGGCATGACTCAAATGAGATAACTTCCTCCCACTAGGCCCCAACTCCTACAGATCC